TCATTCAAATCCTGATTGAACAATAAGAGAAGCTTGCGATTGCATTCTTTCCACTGCCAAACGGTTTATCAGACAGTGGGGTCGATACTAGAGAAAATGAAGAATTAAATGGATGAGAGAGAACCTTTCAAGCCGTCCGATGGAATGAAGGCGTGTTGAATTCGTTTATACAACGATCCTTGTGGGCTTCTGAATGACGATTCTTCGAAGAAACTTCGTTTACGAAGCATTTTCACATCGGGTATGTCTTGAGACTGCATCAACATTGCTTCTTCTAACAATGCCGATTCTAGCCGTTGTTCATGCGGCGGCCAAATCTTCTCCATTTGAAGCATTCCTCTGAAATTGAATAAAACTCATTCAGCGACAATGTCGTATTGTGAAGAGTGCTAGTTTATGAAAGTGATATTCTGATTAAGTTTTCAATGAAAACGATAATAATATTAATGTGAGTACTAATAATTATAATGATTAGAATAATAGCAATGTAAATAGCAATAATAGTAATGCCTACATGCATTTAAAGTGCATTTAAACGAAAAACGAAACCAACTTTCGTCGTTGTTCAAAAGAATAATGCGAACGCCATAACGAGGCGATAAGTTCGGTGGTGAAGACAACATCGGCATTCGATGCAATCATACGCAACACGAATATACCGTCTGAACCCAAATAATGGTCGATGAAACGGTCAACTGTCTCACGATTCTCTGAAAATTTTATTCATACACTCCAATTCGAGTAATATATCATCAATTCGAACACATCTGTGGTTTTATATCAAATGTACAATTTAAATTTACATAACTACACATTCAATTTTGGAAGAATTTATCAGCAGTACACACTTAGGTAACAATAATAAAAACGCTTTCACAAGTGATGATAACGAAATGGAGATGATTGTTGATAAAAGCGTGAATAATAGTAATAAGATGATAACCTTGACTAAATTTATCGAAAGGTGCTTCGCTCATTTCCAAATGATTTAAAATGAAGTGCTCTTTGGAACGTTCACCACCCAACAAATAGAACCAATTCAAGCCATTCAGCATAGTTATCATNNNNTAATATGTAATTCAGAATATGCGTGTATGAATGCTGCTTGATGACATCAAAATATTGAACAGAAGATAAAATTATTGAGGGAATCAAACAAGTCGTCGGATATACGTGTGAAAAAAACTGATGATAACAAACCAAGCCCATAGAAGGATGAATATTTTTTCGGTGAGAATATTGACGACGAGTACGCACTGTATGGTATGTCGTTGGATGTTTCCCATTTCGCGCACCTTTAATCAGAAATTTTTCACTGAATTGTATACCAAAACTCAAATTTTTTTAGAGAATTATGCTGTGTTCAACTCTTAATGATAAACGTGAATAACAGAAGATTTCCAACATAAACAAACAGCCGAATGAAGTTGAAATGAATGGAAATCAATTGGCCGGAGAACAAACCTCAAAATCGCAGAGTGTAACTCGAGGAAATAGTCCACTGTTGTGCCATGATGAGTAGTTTAGCGGAGGCCATATGAGATCTTGCCATGCCTTTAGACCGAAATCATTTTGAAATTCAGGCAACAAATATCTGAATAACAATTTATTTCAAGACTGTGAGCCCAATTTATTTTCTTTTCTTTTGTTG